AACCACCATTTCAATTTTTTGGGAAATTCAAGAAACCTGCAATTTGATAATACATATTAATAATATCCGCAGATAAAAACCAACAACAGTTCTAAATACAATAAAATAAAAATGCATATCGCGGTTATTAAAGTATATTCCACTGCGTGTCCTAATTGCCTACCCATAAAAACCCTATAACCATCGTTTTCGTAGGAAAACATGCAGGGAGTAGCCATTAATGAGTAGGCCTACGTAAGCTTTTGTTGCCAAAACTGCTAACGTTAGGCAAATATACTTAAATAAATACGATATACGAAAATAAGTCAACTAACCTAAACTTAAAACTAAACTAATCTAAAAAAACCAAACTGAGAGAGAATTCTGGGGCTAGGGTTATCTAAAGTGGGTGACAAACTTTAGGTTGTTACGCAATCTGACCGGTAAAAGTAAAGTTCCATTAATTAACGGATGAAATAAGTTCATAGTCAGGGCTCTTCATGAGCATCGCCGTAGTTTACCATACATAACTAACTACTTATTTCGTTGTAGTTTTTTATATTGTTTTGTTTCGTTATTAGTTTATTAAGTAGTTTTAATAGTTTTAGTTTAGTTTGGTTTTTAGTTTAGTTTAAGATTACTTAAGTTTAGTTAATTTTTATTTTTTTACCTTTGGTTCGTTTTAATTTAAATTAAGTTTACCTTAGTTTTTAATTTAGCATTAGTCAAATATAGCGTTTTAAAGTTACCGTGGTGATATTTATATGGAACCTTTACCCAGTCTAACACTACGTAATCTTTCTTCGCCCTCTGTAGATAAACAGAGACCAAATGTTGTGGATAGACGTTGACAAATCGGTTACGGGATTCACTCGTTCCCCTCTTCTTCGGGGCTCCCTCTAGGGCCCCGACAGCAGTTGAACACCGTCACTGATCGCTGAACGTCAGTTTACCAAGCCTAATATTACTGATTAAAACCGCCAAGATAGTCAGGTCGTAGCTTAATGGATTAAAGCATTGAAATTCAAACCAACAGACCGTGATTTCGATATTCACATAGTGCACTACCTGGGGTGGGGTATGACTGGCTGATGATGTCTAATAAGGCAGGAATGGTCATCCCAAGCTCCGCTTAACTCGTGAGTAATGTTCATTTGCCTAGAGACGGAGATCCTAGGTCACAAAATAATGGACCTTTGTAGATAAAGTTAACTAGGGGGAAATAGAGGTGAGCACCGGTTACGGCAGGATTTCAACCGGTTAGTCATTAAGCCATTACTGATCTACCACGAGCATGCGCAAGCTGGAGTACATCGGAGCGGATGGAGCGTAAGTAATTTACTAAGTGGGAACTTAATCATGACAACACCCAGTCATGGTTACATCAGCACAACTGCGCTGAAGGTGACAACTGCAACTTACAATGAAAGCGTGAGCGCGTGTAGTGTTTAGATCAGAACAACGTTCGGAAGTCTTTCTTAATCTGCTCTTTACAAACCCTGAGCCCTCAGTTATGATGTTTGGAAGCCAAGTTTTGTCGTTGTAATATCCTCTCCTCTCAGAATATCATCGTAAATCACACTAGGCTCTTGTGACTTTCATTTCAAAGGTACCTACTTGTCTTGAGAAAACAACTTTTGATATAGAACGCAGTCGATACGCAGTCCCAAGGGTTCCTATACCCGCATCCGATGTATATTTCACGTGTGACGATTATTTATGTGATTACGTTCACTGTGCCAAAATCAGAATTAATCAAATTAAGCCCTACAAGGAACCCACAATTAGGCTTTACGGTCCATTTTTTAAACAGTGCACTGAAATCATGTTTGAAAGGTATATTCTTGTAAAGAAACAATTCAAACGAACGCAACCCCTTTTAAACAGTCATGTGATTCAGTTTGACGAGGGGGAAATTAATTAATGAAGGATCCGTTTAAGAATAATTAAAGAGAAGTTTGTAGTTTAAATAGCTTACTGGATGTCTGTATAACAGAGGAAGCGCATCTAACTGTGAGTTTGCCCTGAAATATGAAATAAACGACTATAATGTAGTCATTAACAATGTCATTTAAGACGGTGGAGAGGTCGAGCCAAGCATTAGCGCTAGTTGTGGCTTGACTTATGAAACCCATGGTGCAAACGATGAGAGAGGCTCAGTTTTCTAGTAGTAAAACCCATCAAAACCACGAGCAGTCTATTCACCAGGCGATCCTTGAGTGAACTGGTTGGCCTCCGGAAACGGAAGCCTCATAATAGAGGTAGTATTACGCTAT